GGGGGGAGTGGGGGGGGAGCGAGCGAGAGCACCACTGTGTGGTGCTTAGTTGCCGGCTGGGGCTAAACCACAACGAGCAGACAGCGTTCATCATTTACATCAGAAGTCAGCTACCTGAAGATTTTTGTTCTTGTCTTTTCAAAAGTAATGTGATGGGAAAGGTGGATTGCACCACGTGACTGTGGAGCTCTGACTGAAAGCAAATTGCTCGGTAAGCTGAAGTACCTTCATCAACAAGAAATCTGATGAAATCTTTCAGAGGTGATGAATGTGTTGCTGTATATGATCTTTTAGCCCTCTGAAATGCTGGGATGTAGGCAGTTCATCTCACTTTAATTTATTGTTTTAAATCAAAAGTCAATTTTTGTCAGATGTGAACTGTTGTGAAAAGCATCTGAGGGAACAAAATTGTACGTTGAATTTAGCATAGTCTTTATCCCTCAAGGTAATGTTGTCTTTGAGACAGTTTTGCCAAGATAAATGTGGATGGCAGCAAAGGTCAAATGACTTAGCCTTAAAGTGTTTCTGTCGTGGTAAAAATATCTTTAGCAGAAACATGCTTGGAACATTTCTCCTTTTAAATGTAATTTATAATTGCTGCTTTCAAAATCGTAAGGATGGATCTTATTCTGAACAAGTGAATACTGTAAATATCCTTGTCATACCTTGAATAAATGGGTACCTTTTTCTATGATTTGTCTTTGTGTCTCTTTATATGCATGTCTCAGTGTTTTGACAAGTTTTCCAAAGGTTAGGGAGTGCATGCTATTACTGCTTGGCTATCTTACACTGTTGTGACTTTTGTAGTAAATAGTGTCTTTCATTAATCTTAAACTGAAAGGTTTTCTTTTTCTTACAATAAACCTTTCACATAAACATCCCCCTAGTTATTCAGGTTCCAGTTTCAAACACATCACAACAAAATGTGGAAATCAGTGTTATGTGGGAAATAGTTTCTTTGTTAAACTACCTCCTTTTCTTTCTGAGGAAGTACCTGTGAAACTCAAAGAGAAAAAGGGCACATGTCTAGAACTTAGAGCAGGTGCTAGTCCCTGTGCTTTCAGTTTAGTTCAAGGATGTGAGCGTGAGTTCTCTATATCCTAGAGAGTTGCTTGATAAGCGGGTTTACTATTCTGTGGTGCTCTGCAAGTCTGCAGCCCACTGTTGAGGATTTTCAGAGGGAGTAGAACAGCAAAGCAGGGATTTCAACTGGTTGGTGAGGTGTTATGTTGGTGCTATGTGCTAGCTAATGCCCTAAAAACTTACTTTGACTGAAGTTCCAGCCTCTCAACTAATTTTTACCGAAGTTGGTTCTATCCTAACAATTCCAAAGAATTATCACTTCCTAATTTAAAAGGAAAAAAGTCCCAGCTACGTCTAGTTATATTTGTTAAACTGTGAGAGGTATAATGTTAATCTGTATGTAGCTCATGGCCAGTTACTTTCAGTGAAAGTTGCCATTTATTAACCGGGAATACTTTGATTTTGTTATTGCTCACGATATGGTACCACTGTAGTCTAGAGCCTGTGTCAAAAACACTGTAAAGAAAGGTATCTTCTCTCTGCAGTAGACATCAAAGGCAAGGTTTTATTGGATTACTTTAAAATTGTTTCTTTGCCAGATTTCAAGGTACAGACTCATCTAATTGTTGCTTTTCTGTTTCACTTGATTATCAGGCTGGGAAGTAGAGTCCACATCCCTAAACCAACTGTAGTACATATGTCTCCCTGCTGTCTCTTCAGATATCGCTGACAACCCTTGGACTCCTGCCCCTATTTCTCTGGCTGCCGTGTCCTGGCTTGCTTTGGCTGTTACTTCTACCCTTCAGATTGCCATTACCAGGCTAACTTACCCGGGAGAATTTGGCCTTTGTGGCCCGTTCGTTCTAAGCTTTACCCCTCTAGTATTGGTCTTGGCATATTAAAGCATCTTTCAGAAGACTGGGATTTCACACTCAGTCCAACAAAGAGATTCTGCAGCTGCTATAATCCCTTGCCAAGCCTAATTTCAGCACAATTATTATATGCTAAAGCATCCTCAAATATGTAACAATTTACAGAAAAATGACAATTTACAGGGCTGATGTGGAGTAATTTGGTGTGGAATGCATTATCTCAAACTAAGTGTTATGACTGATAATTTGTGATATTGCTCAAGATCTATTTATAGAAATGCGCTTGTGTGTTTTTTACCGGTCATTAGCGTGTCCAGTTTACCTGCTGAAGTAGCGCATGTCTGGAGGCATACTTGCTGAAAAGTGAGTGTGTTCCTGTGTACTTTCTAGCAGATACCATTTTTCATTGTAGTAGTAGTACACCTTTGCTGCGTAATGGATCTCGTATAAAAATACACAGTTTTGGAGTATCTTACTGCATATGATGCCGAAAGCTCATAAAAGCGTTGTGTTCCTAGCTGGCTTAGCACACGGAGGAATTTCTCCACTGAAAGGGCAACAGTGTTTAACCTACTGTTCGGTACAGGGGTATAGATCTCATTAAGGTCCAGGAGCCGAGATGTTTATAACCGAGAACTGGCCTCCTGCACCGTTGAGCTGGCAGTGGAGCCGACCACGGGCAAAACGTAGGCGACTCACAACCTCTTTATTTGCCTTTTTTCGGTGCCTGCCTCTGAACCCGGGTTCGGGGTCCAAACCGGCCCATCAGGTACCGAGGCCGCCGGCGGGGCGCGGGGCTGCCCGCGGCCACCAGGGGGCGCCAGGAGGAAGAGAAAGGCCCGGGGGC